CTCTTTGATGATGCCAGTGCTCTCAGTAGATGATATTTCAGATAGCAAAGATCTATTTTAGACCATTCTCTACGAGACTCAATACCGGAGCAGAACATAAGCGCAGGGGGCGTCCCAACCACCCACCACCACCAACTTTCTCTACCCCCCCAAAAAATAATGCCTGATTAATTCTATGCTAAATGTTACACAAAAGCAAAAATATTTGACAGAGACTCAGACCTTACCTAGAAGGGATCATGGTCTTTTGAGTGTGAAAAACAAAAAAAATCAATGTCTCTTATAAGACCATTAGACACCAGTGAGAAATCCTGAAACATGCTATGAAAGTCTAGAAAGGAGGCTTCTAGAAACTTCTCATCCATCATAAAAGGAGAAACCAGGAGTTCTGTGCCCTAAAAAGCAGGAAGTCTGAACAGGTTCAGGCTCAGAAGGCGATTCAGCAAACACTGCCAGGCAGAATTACATGACAACATTGTTCCTGCAGACCACGATCTGGGGCTAAAATATGTAATATCATATGAAAACTTACAAAGAAATGGGAATTGAAACAATGAAAATAAGATTCTACCTAGCAGCCCAAATCTGCTCTGAGAGCAACAGAATTTGTGGCTACCCCTTCAATCTACTCTCATAAGTTACAACAATCAAACCAAAAACAAGAAATTGAGACCTTGGAAAACGCTTGCTCGAAGTGTCCCATGCATATATATTTTTATATTTTCCAAATGGTTTCTTTTCATGACATCTTTAACCTTATGCAGGACTGCACTCACATTCAGCAAGAGGAACGTCAGAAATGAGCATCTCTAACAGTAAAGTCTTCCTTCCCTTAGAGCACATATAACGCACATACCGAATCCCTCAAACGGTGTCCAGATGTCTTAGCCCAGCCAACAGTCCGGGCTCTCCACAGTTTGGCAAGTGTCCTCCTTTCCAGTGTTATCTTTCACCACTCCTCAACCCAATCCTCTGCACCAAACAGACTGCCATTTCCTCCCTCCCTCTAGTCCACATGCCCAGCACAGTTCTTGCTCACCAGATTACTCTGGGTCCTTGTTGCCTAGGTCAGCTCCACCAATAATGACCCACATCTTTCCTTCTACATATCAAATTCCTCCCTAAACCCCAAGGCTTAGCTCAAGCATCACATCCTCCATGTCCAAAGCATGCGTTCCTTGAACATCCCAGCTGCAAGTGTTCTTTCCTTCCTTCAGCCATCTGTCACGGTCCTGACTCATGCTTACCTCCCTTGAGTGCAGTTATCTTTTTTGTTCCTCTCTTTTCCTATTAGCCCATGAGAAACTGAGGGCTAATAGGAAAGCAAAGACAAACTCAATAAACTTTGTCACCTTTTGGGTAAATAAAAATATTGTCCATAATTTATGCATCCCATGAACAAATAAGAGAATGTTATTCTCTAGACTGCCCCCGCCTCCTCCCCAGTTCTTTCTTCATGTTACTGAAGCCTGCTCTCAGCTTATGCTTTTCAGAATGTTTCTGGAGCCCTGTTTACCTGGAATTGTCTAGGTCAGCCTTTGGTTCCTCCCTCCATTCCTCTTTGAAGAACTCTTTTTTTTTTTTTTTTTTTTTATGAGACAGGGTCTCATTCTGTCATTCAGGCTGCAGTGCAATGGCATGAACAGGGCTTACCCCATCTCAACCTCCCAAGCTCAAGCAATTCTTCAGCCTCAGCCTCCCCAGTAGCTGGAACCACAGTCAGGCACCATCACACCTGGCCAATTTTTTTTTTTTTTTGTACAGACAAGATCTCACCATGTTGCCTAGACTGGTCTCCAACCTGGCTCAAGTGATCCTCCCTCCTCAGCTTCCCAAAGTGTTCGACTATGGGCCTGAGTGACTGAGCAGCCTGAAGAGCTTCTTTCCTCAGTTTCTGATAGGCTATCCCCCTCTCTGGTGGAGGGATACCCACGATAGCTGTAGACTCTCTGGTTAGTTGAACCCTGGCATAGCCATGGTTATTTTAGAAAGGCAAGATTTCAGAAGCTGAGGTTTATGCAGCAACATGATCACAGAGTTTTGCTAGCTTCAGCTACAATCCATTCTGTGACAAACAGACATTTCCAGGTGTGTTCCTGTCACAGCCAGATCGCCATCCTCACTGCCACCCCCACCTCCAGGTTGCGCTGTCTTCATGCCCCGGAAAGCGTGCCCAGCAGAATATAGGAAACCAGAACCTCTGACCAGAGACTTGAGAAAAACACACCATTCCTAGGCCACTTGTTATGCGAAAAAGACAGTTTCTAACTAATGAAGGAAGACTACGCCACAATTGGAAATGCAGGCTTTTCGCTTTCAAGGAGAAATTAATGTTGGCAGAGTTGCTCTTTGAGCTCCCTTCAATGATTTTGGAAGAGCCATTTTAGAAGAGGGAAGGAAAGGAAGGTGGTGTGAATGGCAAATGGAGAGAAGAAAATGGAGAAAGAGAAGGTGATGGAAAGAGAAAACCGAACCAGAGGGAGACAGACGGAGAAGTGGGTGGAAGGGAGGAGATAATGAGGATGGAAAAGAGAAGGGAGCAGACTGGGGAGTGGGGAGGAGAACGGAAAAGAGAAAGGAGAGGGTGGAGGAAGCCTGACCGGGGGTACCACCGCTGGATCTCATAAGCACGGGCTGGTCCACGGTGCTGTGGTGGTTTTGACTTCTCCCTCTGGGAACTCTTAACATCCACTAGAGGACCTGGCCCCCACAGCTTGTTAGAAACACTTGGCGCTACAAAATCTCTATCAGAGTTTCCTAGACCCAGACTACTGAATAGAATTCAGGAGTTCAATCTCCAAAGGCTACCCTTCTGCTACCCTTCTGCTCTCAGTACCCATTAAAGAGGCAAGATCTTTGAAAAGCAGGTGGCCACACATCCAGAGTATGCCTCATGTTCCAGATTACCTGTTAATAACTTCCCCTGTCCTCACTAGTGCTCCATACTGGATGCTGAATTATTTTATTTTTAGTAAGAAATGCAAGAAACTGAAACTTATTAAATTCATAAGAAGTACAAGAAACTGAAACTTAGTAAATCTCTAAACAGATTAAAATACTCAGTCTGATCATTCCCAGAAAGAGAATGAGTCTGAATTGGTGACCGGAAGGATTCTTCCTGGAGGAGCCAAGGTTTTTGAAATAGTTCCAGGGATAATATGACAGTGAGGGTAGAAGAGGGCACTGAAACCAGGCTTCACAGGACAAGGCTATATATAGCACATGCCTTGAATATTGAAATCATAATTTATAGAAATCATTATTTAAGATTGGTGGCCAGGCATGGTGGCTCATGCCTATAATCCCAACACTTTGGGAGGCCAAGGTGGTAAGACTGCTTGAGGTCAGGAGCTCAAGGCCAGTCTGGGTAGCATAGTGAGACACCATCTCCACAAAAAATCCAAAGTGGTGGTGTGCGCCTATACCTCCAGCGACTTGGGAGGCTGAGGTGGGAGGATCCCTTGAGCCTGGAGGCAGAGGTTGCAGTGAGCCAAGACTGCACTACTACACTGCAGCCTGGGTGACACAGCAAGACCCTGTCTTTAAAAAAAAAAAAGATCCAGTGGCAGGGGAAGAAAAGACCACCGTGACAGTTTCTGAAAGATAAAGCAGAGCAAACCATAGGTAAATAATGTTTGAGAAGTCTCCTGTAATAGACACACCCTGTAATAGTTTCTGGTTGGTGGTGAAGTATAGCAATGAATTATTCATTCTAAAATGTACACTGTGAAGGCTCAAGGTAAGACCTCCTAACTCTGCCATACCAAGAGTCTATCATAAGGTAGGAAGGGAGGGAGGAAAGAAGGGAGGGAGGAAGAAAGGGAGGGAGGAAGAAAAGGCAAATTTCAAGGCAATCTGTGGGAAGAAGGAAACCTAAGATATTAAATTATGAAGTGAATTATTACCACAAGGAAGCTGAAGAGCAACGAGGAGTTCCCTAGATAATAAGCGGAAAGGAGGGGATAATCCAATGAGCATCTTGACAGGGAGAAGTAATCTTCAAGAAAAGACTACTTTACCCCACCCTTATCGCAGTAATCATTCATATTATTTACTCAATCACTCATTCATTCAGCACACATTCTAGAAGCCATGAGGAATACAGTGAAGCCTCAGTTGAATCTAAGGGCTCTCACTGAGCATCCTCCATGTGTCAGACCCTGTGCTAAATGCCAGAGACACAGGCAGGAAGGAGATATGGGGCTCCAGGCTGGGAAGGTCTCAGACACAATCTAGAAATTGCTACAGTTCTAGATCTGTCGGTGAGATTTGATCCTGCCACAGGATGAACCGGGAAGTCCCATTCAGACCAAAATTCACCTGCAGCAGACCACCTTGATATGTGAGAATGGTCTCCTAACATAAGTTCTACAATACAGCACGCTTCTCTTTTTGCCTTGAGTCCCAGCTAAGTGCTGTTCAAATCTGCAATAAGTATCGGTGGGCTAGGTTTTCTTACATTTAGTCCCCCCAAAACATTATTACAGAACTCTTGTCCTATTATCCTGATTGTAGGGCTTCCATTAAGTATTGTTTTACTCTAAATCACCTCAAATATTCCTAGAAGAAAGCAACTTATAAAATAATTATTAAAAACAAATTACAATATTAGAAAACATGGATTGACCCAGGAACCCCTAAGATTCTAGTGGGTCCTGTAAGGGCAGAGAAGGGCCAGAGAGAGGCCAGATACCCTGGCTCACTCAAAACTGACGAAGACACTCTAGGCCAGGACCTCCAGAACTGCCCTCTAATCTAGGGCTGGTCACAGCCAAATCAATGGAAGTGAAAATGATTTGACAGTCCACATCAGACTTCCTATAGAGTCAAATACATCGTGTCCTCATCAGAGAGCAGCTCTAGGCACAGAAAACAAGTGTTCAGCTTTCCCTGTGCTACCAGGCAGGATAAGTGGGGCAGGTTCAAGGTGAGCCACACCACTCCTGTGGCCACTCGCAATCTCACGTGGTGACAGAGCCTCAGTGACTGGTCCTACTTACATCAACGGGTACAGAGCATTCTCTGTGGAGCAGGATCCTCAAAAACAGCTGGCCTCTGCTTCTCTTCAATTATTTCAGCTTCTTTAAAATAATTCAAGCCACAAACCTTGGAACTTTTAGAGCACTGAACCCCAGGCAACTTGTAGATCTCCCTTGATGGAGGGGGGGAAAAAAGAGAAAGCAATATTTTATTACAGACTTCTGTTCCATTCATATTTCTTTCCTCCTTGGCACTCCTGGCCAGCACTGTGCAACAGAAGCCTCCCAATCACACCAGGCACTGAAGGAATTGGATGCATCCCAGAGGATCTCAGAGGGATGTTGTTTATACCTACTAATACTTGCCCAGTTAGAATTTAAAACTGAGAATTTAAAATTTGTTGTGTATTAACTCAGTAAATAATGGTAATTTGGTTGAATAACGATTGTTATAAAAATACTTTATCTTCAAACTTGTTATAAAAATAACTTTATCTTCAAAACAAGAAGAATGACATGGTTTTACATTTGTTTAAATCTCAAATATTTGGCTTGACCAGGCATCATTGGATTATCGTATCTGCTTCTGGATTTGATTTGTTACAATGGCACATGTCACTGAACTTCTGGAAAACTCTACCGTACACTCGTGAGAGAAGGGGAATAAAAATAACTTAGTATTATTTTTAACATAATTTCAATCTATGGATCTCCTCAAAGGATCTCAAGGACTCCTAGGAATCCCAGAACACACTGGGAATCACTGCTTCACCCAATAAAAAGTGAGCCTCATGTCTACTGCAGGCCATCCCCCTTCTTCAGAGGTAACTAGTTATCAGTTACCAGAGTAATTTTCTAGAAGCATTCTACATATATAAAAACTACGGATTTATAGTGCTGGGGGGGGGGTTCTGCCGTTGTATTCTTTAGATAGTGTCCTGCTTTGTCGCCCAGGCTGGAGTGCAGCGGAGTGATCATAGCTCACCGCAGCCTTGAACTTCTGGACTCAGATGATCCTTTTGCCTCAGCCTCCTGAGTAGCTAGAACTAAAGGCACATACCACCATGCCCAGCTAATTTTTTTTTTCTTTCTTTCTTTCTTTCTTTTTTTTTTTTTGCAGAGACGAGGTTTTGCTATGTTGCCCAAGCTGGTTTCAAACTTCTGGCTTCAGGCAATCTTAGTGATCCTTTCATCTCAGCCTCACAAAGTGCTGGGATTACAGAAGTGAGCCACCATGACTTGAGATGCGTAGTTTTTCTAATTTAAAAAATTGAATATTTGCTATACATTTTACCTTGGCTTGTCTGTTATACATGTTGGGGACAGTTTCATGTCTGCATGCATAGTTACCTCTTTTCTTTGCTCTGATCTGTTGTGTCCCTCTAAATGGACGTAACTCTCTACAACTACGTACAGTGTCACAGTGCCAAGGTGGGCTGCTGAATGGCTACTGTCAGTTGCCCATGTCTTTAGTGGAGAATACAGTACTTAATGGGAGTAAAATGGCCACACAAAGCAAGAACAACTGCTACACATCTTAGCACAATTTTCATCTGGCTTCTCGTTTCCTTACAAGGTATACAGCTGAAGTCTTACAAATTGGACAAAACACCCACATTTTACCGTAGTGCTGCACTTTTCTACTTGGTGCTTACTCACTGCTCAAGAAAAACTTACATTAACAACCTCTGAGCCAATGTTTATAGGGATGTTTACAACCAGCAGCCTCTCTAATTCTTAAAACACTCACTGTCATCAGCATCACGTCAGCTGCAGGGAAGAAACCAGGACTCAAGTGTTCCCAAACGGTCTTTTTTATTTGAGACAGGGTTTCACTCTTATCACCCAGGCTGGAGTGCAGGGCAGAATCTCAGCCACTGCAGCCTCCACCTCCTGGAGTCAAGCAATTCTCATGTCATAGCCTCCCGATTATCTGGGATTACAGGTGTGTGCCTCCACACCTGGCTAATTTTTGTATTTTTCGTAGAGACGGGGTTTCAACATGTTGCCCAGTCTGGTCTCAAACTCTTGACCTCAGGTGATCCACTCACCTTGGCCCCCCAAAGTGCTGGGATTATAGGCATGAGCTATCATGCCCAGCCCCAAAACAGTATTTCTGAAAGCTATTTCCCTGCAGTACTAAGGTGCCAAAAGGTTAATCCTGTGGGTTTACAATTTCGCTGACGTAGAAGCTAAAGGAAACCCCCACCTCATAAAGCTAATTTGCTTTGGTCACACTGAAGTTCTCAAATGCGAAAAAGTTTTGTTTGTTTGTTTGTGTTTTAAGGCAGGGCCTTGCTCTGTCACCCAGGCTGGAGTACAGTGGCATGATCATGGCTCACTGCAACCTCAATCTCCTAGACCCAAGTGATCCTCCTACCTCAGCCTCCCAAGTAGCTGGGAGTACAGATGCACGCCACCTCACAGAGCTAACTTTTGTATTTTATATACAGATGAGGTTTTGCCATTGTAGCCCAAGCTGATCTCTTAACTCCTAAGCTCAAGCAGTCCTCCCACCTCAGCCTCCCAAAGTGTTGGGATTAGAGGCATAAGCCACCACGCCTGGCCACAAATGCCGAAAGTTTTGTAGACCATCTGAGTTCACTTCCTCCCTCAGATTTACTAGCTGTACAATCTGGGGAGGTTGCTTAGTGTCTACTTAGAAAATAGAGATGATATATATGTGATAAGTTATAAGAAAGCATAACTGTAATTACATACAGAGTGTTCCTACCACATAGTGGGTACTTAGCACTCAGTAACTGTTAAGTCCCTTCTCCGTATTGTCTATAAACCAAAATGAGCTGTGGGGCTGACCTTATGTCCTAGCCTTAGCTGGCTTTTCAGGAAACCCCAGTGGTCTAGTCTTTTAGGAAGTCTGGAGATATAAGAAACTGGGATAAAAGAAAATGGCAGAGCATTTTTTCCAAACAAAAGGAATTCCCTGGAGTCTGTCATCTGTCTGATTAAAGATGAGAAGCGCAAGTCCACTTTCCTGTATCCCTCCCCACTAGGCCAGGAAGATGGGGACCAACAGTCCCTGCCCTTCTTCTTCAGCTTTCCAATCTGCCTCCAAAATTACATAGCCCACTGTGGTTCGCATTTATGGTTCCACAGAGCCTAGAGAAAACCCCGCCCAGGCTTGGAGGAGCCCCTCGGGCAAGCATGACAATTTTTGTCAAGCATGACAATCCTTCCAGGAGCAGAACCAGCACCTGCAATTACAGGATGTATTATTACCTCCATTTACAAATGAGGAAAGTGATTTTCGGAGATGCGAACTAAATTCCCCATGCAGCCCTACTGAGGGCAGAGTCAGAATTCCAAACCAAGTCTGTCCTATGCCAAAGCACATGTTTTCAACCACGTCATCATGTGATGCTCCAACTAGGAACGATAGCATTGTTCCCATGATGCAGCAGGGCAGCCAGTTTCACGTAACACCATTCCCATGATGCAGCAGGGCAGCCAGTTTCATGTAACACCATTTCCATGATGCAGCAGGGCACCCAGTTTCATGTAAAACCGTTCCCATGATGCAGCAGGGCAGCCAGTTTCATGTAAAACCGTTCCCATGATGCAGCAGGGCACCCAGTTTCATGTAAAACCGTTCCCATGATGCAGCAGGGCACCCAGTTTCATGTAAAACCGTTCCCATGATGCAGCAGGGCAGCCAGTTTCATGGAGATAGTGAGATTTCACAGGGGAGATACAAATGTCTTTAACCATAGGCTGAAGGTCTTAATAACGCAAAATTATAACTAAAATAAAAATCAAAATTCTTAAGAAAATCATTCCTAAACTTGACACGAAAGTAGAATACCAAAACACCAAAGAGTAAACCAAAATTTGATTCATTTTTGGATTATAAAGATGAGTAGATTATTTATTTTACTTAAATTTAATTTGTATTTTGTTAGAAGATTAAGATTACTACAGTATTTCAATAGATTATTGTTTTAATAGCTTCATAATTTGATAGTAATTTGTTCAACCATGTTTCTGAGTTCCTAATATGTAATATATACTATAGTTGACATAAAGATGAAAAAACATGTTCCTTGACCTTAAAAAAGATATAATGGATATTATATGTTTGGGTTGGTAAGGTAATAAGAAAAGAAGAAGGTGCTAAAGAAGGGAAATCAAGCCATTGAGTGTTCCTAAAAATTGTAGGAGTGAGGAGGCATTATTTGAGCTGACTCTTGAAAATCACTAGGATTTTGTGAGGTAGAAAGAATGCAGACAAAAGTCTAAGGAAAGGGAACAATTTGAATAGGCAAGTTATGGGATAAGAAGATAAATAAATAGTTGGCTGGAGGATAGGAACACGCAGGTAATTGAAGACAAAGCTGGAAGATGATTGGCTCCAAAAGCCAGTAAGGGGTGAGTACGAGAGAGCCAGGAAAGCCTTTGGAGGAGTGGGATGGCAGGCTCAGAGAAGCTCTATGAGGCTAAACCTCGCATGTGGGGTGCTTGGAAGGAGAGACCTGGCACGGGATGACCAATGAAAGCCTGATGTACAATAACGACATCAGAAAGAGAAATAAATGATGTGGATCTATAATAATGTGGAGAGAGGCTGAGCGTGGTACCTCATGCCTGTAATCCTAGCACTTTGGGAGGCCAAGGCAGATGGATCACTTGAGGCCAGGAGTTCAAGACCAGCCTGGCCAACATAGTGAAAACACGTCTCTATTAAAAATACAAAAATTAGCCGAGCATGGTGGCACACACCCACTGTAATCTCAGCTACATGGGAGGCTGAGACATGAGAATCACTTGAACCTGGAAGGTCGAGGTTGCAGAGAGCCAAGATTATGCCACTGCACTCCAGCCAGGGCAATAGAGCAAGACCCTGTTGCAAAAATAACAGTAATAATGTGGAGAGGATTGAGGATTGACCAGTGACTAGCACAGGAGGGAAGAAGGAAGGAGTCAAAAAGCTTGGGTGTCTGGTCTACATATGACCAGGAGCACACCGTGTGTGTGTGTGTGTGTGTGTGTTTGCAATGGAGTCTCACTCTGTCACCCAGGCTGGAGTGCAGTGATGCAATCTTGGCTCACTGCAACCTCCACCTCCCAGATTCAAGCAATTCTCCTGCTTCAGCCTCCTGAGTAGCTGGGATTACAGGGGCACCACGCATGGCTAGTTTCTGTATTTTTAGTAGAG